GTAGGTGGTGACAGACCTCCGAACCTTTAAATGTTTATGCAGCTCGTTCCTCTTCGATGCTCGGTGAGACTCTGCAAGGACCGCCGCCACCGAGAACCCATCGGGGGGACGGCCCGTGGGCGGTGGTACGCCTAACCGTGGCCCATGACGGATTGAGGGCGGGTGGTTTTCAAAATGTGGCTCTCGCCTTAACGCCGCGCACATTCGTTGTCAAACTTTGCAAGAGTTTCACGGATTCAGGGCGGGTCGTTTTCAAAATGTGACTCTCGCCTTAGCGCCGCGCACATTCGTTTTAAACATTTGAAAGACTTTCACGGATTGAGAGCGGTTCCTTTTCAAAATCTGGCTCTCGCCTTAGAGCCGCGCACATTTGATTTTTCATTTGCAAGAATTTCACGGATTCCCATGATCAACGAGACAGAAATTGTGTTCTGGAAGGACTCAGGATTTTGCGGGTGCAAGAGTTATGTTGATTCGCGGTGTTGGAATTCCTAAAATTGCGTTATGGCACGATTTCGGATCGTTAAATCGCAGGGGTCAAAGTGATATATGCCGTTGAAATTTCGAGAATAATGCTTTGGCATGCTCCAGGAACTTCAAACGGTTGTCTTCCAACGAGGCAGTTCCCTCAATGGGAATGAACCTTTGTAGGGGCCTACGAAGAGGGAGCTTGGAGGAAGGGTTAATTCCAACATCGTTGATGACTCTTGGGTTTCACTGGTCCTCCTCCTCCTCCTCCTCCTCCTCATCCCCCACCTCCTCCTCCTCCCTCCTCCTCCCCCTTCGCCGCCCTCCTCGATCCCCCCTGGCTGGTGCCAGAGCGGCCGGTGTGCCCTCGCGCAGACGGGCGGAAGACCTCAGCGCGCGGCGAGCAGGAGCCGCGTCAGCAGGAAGGAAAACGCCGCGAGGACAAAGTAGCCTCGGGGGCGGCCAAGGACGGGGGCGTCCAAGAGGGGGGGGCGCAGATCATGGCCGGCGGCACGTGCGCGGCCGAGGGGAAGGGCCGGGGACGTAATCATTGAAACAAGAAGGGGCGCCATGAAATCTGGGGAGAGATCATGGCCCACGCCATGATATCCGCCCCTCCCAGTCCTCACCCCCCTCTTGGCCGCCCCTGGCAACCGAACTTGAGCACCGACCACCGGGTCACCGGGACGTTGTACACGGAGAAGCCGGCCTCCAGCGACTCGACGTGGGCCGCGACGCACCTCGGAGAGGGGCCGACACACGCGGACGGCGGGGAGCCCTGACCCCCGACGTCCTATTTTTATCGAACATAAACCCCTAAAAATCTAACCCCCTAAAGGTCTAACCCCCTGAAAAATCTAAACCCCTAAAAATCTAAATCTAAATCCCTAAAGGCTTAAACCCCTAAAAATCTAAACCCCTGGAGGTCTGGGCCCCTTCCCCGGGGAGAGGCAGGGGAGGTGGGGGGGGGCTGTGCGGTAGATAGGGCAGTGCAGAATGGGGGCACAGACCCCCGACGTCGTGGCGGATCTCGTGGCACGAAGCCCCGGAGGTCTCCAGACCCCTTCCCTCGAATATGGACCAGCTTTTCCTCCAGGGTGGTCCAGGGGCCTGGTGAGGGCCACCACCAGAGGCCCAAAACTATCGGAAGCTCAACGTCGTGCTTTGCTTAAATGTTTGTCGTGACACGACCTGCGGGTCGGCGGCGAGCCCAGCAGGGAAATCAGAGGGGGCAGGCGTTTTCGGAAGGCTCGGAAGGACTCCGGCATTCCGAGCCAGGGACGGCTTCCCAGAGAGCGCGAGGGCCTCCCGAGAAGCTGCCGCCCACCTTCCGAGAAGGCCTGGTCCCTCTCACTTCCCCCCGGGGCACGCTGCCGCGCGGATCCTTCAACGCGGCGGGGCGCCCCTCATCCTCCTCCTTCTCCCCCCCTCCTCCTCCCCGCTCTCCTCCTCCACCTCCTCCCCCTCCCCCCACTCCTCCTCTTCCTCCTCCTCCTCCTCTTCCTCCTCCTCCTCCTCCTCCTCCTCCTCCTCCTCTCCCGATCACCGCTCTATCCTCGGGGATCCTCTGACCCGGGTCAATCCAGACCCGGGTCAGCAGTAAACCAAAAAACTGCAATGCAGGAATAAAAAACTGCATCGCAGGTCTTCGCAAACCCGGGTCAGCCAATATGCGCGGCGGCCTCGCGGCCACGAGCGGCTCGCTAACCCGGGTCAGCCAGAGGGGGTCTTCGCAGGAACCTGCAGGATCCGGTGTCCTGGCTGACCCCCGTTTGCATTGACCCCCGTCTCAAGGCTCTCACTCTCCGATTGCGGAGGTCGTCTGGCATCGGCCGAGTCGAGGCCACTGGCGGCGTCCAGCCTCGAGCGCCAGCAGAGGGGGTGCCACCGCCGCGGCCCCCCGCGGCGCGACGCGAGCCTGCCGTTCTCTTCGTTTCTCTGGCTCTCACGCGGGGCCCACCCCTGCGGGTCGGGGCTCGAGAGGAGCCAGCGAGAGGGTGGGGGGGAAGGGGAACACAGGGATCGACCTATAAACAGTGTTTTTGTCATGTTCGCTTCGTGTTCGGTTCCCCTCGTTCTGTCTCCAGTCCGCCTCTGCTGCAAAACGAAGCCGAAACGAAAACGGCACACGAAATCGCCAAACCACCGTTGAGGTACACCCCTGCCTCTCAGCGAGAGGGTGGGGGGGGAAGGGGAACCAACAACTGCATGAACGTAAACATTCGGGGCTCCTCGCGGAGCTCCGACAGCTGATGATACCGTACTGTGTTGTGTTTTCTTACTCGGAGGGTGGGTAGAACCTTAAGAACGCCCACGGCACCATGATCCCCTGCGGAGGGTGGTTGGATTGGGGTGGGGGCGGTCACCAGACACGCAGGTAGGGCTCGCATTCGGCTGCAGGAAAGGGGTGAGTGCAATAGCCGGCGATCGCCAGCTTACTACAATGTCTGCTCTCACATTGACCACCCGATGAGCCAGTGGGGGCATTGATGAGACCTGAAATCTGAGGGCCTAAGTGTTGACCATGCCCCGTCCTTTGGTCTGCATCGAACCTGCGATTCCCCATCGAAGGCGCGCCAAACCCGCGGCGAATGCACGTCGAATTCTCGTCGAACCCGCGGCGGGTAGAAAAACGACCGCACTTCATTGGGCAGGTGCATTTCCACCTGCAACTGCAATGTAACTCTTGGCGTCCGATGGTTAGAGACAGCAGCAGGGGGACAGATGGAACGCCGATCGCTCAGATCACCGACCAACATAGGTAGTGATAGTGGGTGGACGCGTCATCATGAATCATTATTGGAAAAACGACGTTGAGTAACACGACGATCATAATTAAACAATCAACCCAGTTAGTGTCAACACGAAAGAAAAACATAAGTCCAACGCCAAACACATGCATTGCACACAAGAGCTTATGCCATACATGTGGGGCATGTTTTCCTAAACGTGTCCCCCTTCACTGCTACGACCTAAGAGCTTCGATCACCATAGCATGACATGAACGCACGGAAGACAGCATCCTCGGTGGGCCATCGCCCTCCCCGAGGCCACCGCTCCGACTCCAACGCCCACCGGCCAGTTTTGGAGCTGCGCGGAGCACCACTTGTCGTGATCGATCTCCACGCCGAAGTTGAGGGAGTGGACGAGCCGCGCCGCCCGAGGCCCGCCCACCCTCGGGGCCCCAAAGTCGGGCAGAGTCAAAGGGGGGGCACCACTGGGGGGGGTCATAAAAAATTCATCCTGAAGATCGAGGCTCCGAGATCGAGGCTCGAGGTTTTTGGGACGTTTTTGCGCTCGTGTTCGGGAGGCTCTGGCATCTTCTGGGGGGGTGCTGCCTCAAAGGAATGTGGCGTCTCCTCGAGGAAGTGTCGTCCCACCTGGCGGTGACACCCCGTGGCATTGCCGAGCCAAGACAGCTCACACACGCCGAATCTCGCCAACGACCGCTGGGGTGACGCCGCCCCCGCCAGTCACCCACTGGCAACCGCCGAGGGCCGAAGGCAATCCAACTCTATGGTGGGCAGATTTTCCACCACGACCACCAGAAGATGGAGGGGGGAGGGGGTCCTATTCCTCCTCCTCCTCCTCCTCCCCCTCCTCCTCCCCTCCAACTGATGGCGGTGGTGGTGGAAAACAGGCCCATCACCCCAGGCGCGGCGAAGCTTGGCCCTTGTGCGGGGTCGGGGCCCGGGCGCTTCTTGAGAAGTACGGAATGCTCTGGCGGCTGCCCTGGATTGTCCAAGACGCCAGAAGCCCGTGGCACGAAAGCAGGACGGGTCTCGTGGGAACCGTGACCCGAGCTTTCTCCCCAAGACCAGCTGCTCGTCTGCAGCCGTTTTTGTGGGGATGGTCCTGGGTCCCAAACACGGCCCCAGGAGTCCGAAAGGAACGTGGGGGGAAACTCAAGACCCCTCTCCCTCATGACACTGGTCCTTCTTTCGTAGGGAGGCGAAGAGACACCGATACCGCTATCCCCCAAACCTCTCCTGGGGTGCGTTCTGACCAGGACTTCGTGGCGAATCCAGCGGTGGCGACGAGGGCCTCCCAGGAGACCCAAAAAGGGGAAAACGCGGACGGGGCGAAAGGTAGGGGGATGGATACCCTTTCCTCTTCTCGTATGAACGAGTCAGCCCCCAGACATCTGCTATGGGGTGCGATCGGGCAAGCATTTCGGAAAGGGGCCCGAGGGGAATCGGCACCCAGCAGCTGCGACAAGGGGCCTCCGAGGAGCTCCAACAGCCCAAACCTGCGCTGTCCTCGATTCTGAGACGTCTCGAAGCCTCGCTCCTCGGACTGCGAGGCCCTCAATCCTCAAATCTCGATCTCCTCGATTTCGAACCTCGATCCTCGAGCCTCGAGCCTCGATCCTCGACCTCGAGCCACGATCCTTGAACGTCGAACTGCGATGCCCTCGCTCCTCGAACCTCGATCTCCACGATCTCGATCCTCGATCCTCGAGCCTCGAGCCTCGAACCAAGATCCTCGAAACACTACCTGGACGCCCTCGATCCCTCGAACCTCGACCTCCC